ACTGAAAGTCTGATCAATATTGCGACAGCCACCAAGAAGGTCGAAATGGTTCACGTGCTAGATCGAGCAGCCGCTGGCGCAGTAATGGCGCTGACATTGATATTCATGAAGTCCGAGGACCACATCGTCGCTCGCAAGATTGACGTACCAGACTCCATCGTTCAGTTCGATTATATCCGCCCCGACATCCTCCTCCTGCGCACAGTCGCCAAGAACCTCATTATGTGGAGCAAGATTGAGCCCACATTCGACTGGATATTGGGCAGCTTGCCCAAACCATTCCGCGTCCGTCACAAGTTAACAGGCATCTCTAAGCTGAAGAGCACCGACCTGCCCTTCTTCAGCATTCTTACTGGCCTCTGCTTCTCCGTCGCGCTGCGTTATGCAGGCAGCGCGTCGACAAAGGTCCGAGACCTCCTCATCCACTACCTCGATAACTTTATCCGCATCTCTCGAATTCCTGGCACCGGTCGCTCGCAGGAAACCCCCGTATACGACGAAGAACTTGCACGCTCCAACGCGCGCATGTGCCAGGATGTCCTTGCTCTCTCCGCAGCAATCGTCATGGCAGGAACGGGTGATCTTGTCGTCCTCCGCCGCCTCCGACTCCTCCACGGCCGAGACGACCCCGAAACTCCGTATGGCTCTCACCTAGCCGCCCATCTTGCTATCGGATCTCTTTTCCTTGGCTGCGGCACAGCAACATTTAGCACAAGCAATATGGCCATCGCGTCCCTCTTGATCTCGTTCTACCCCGTCTTTCCAACCTCGGTCCAGGACAACCGCTCCCACCTCCAAGCCTTCCGCCACTTCTGGGTCCTGGCCACTGACAATCGCTGCCTGGTCGCCAAGGACGTGGCAACGGGCCAGCCTATCTCTTCATCCATCTCGATCCGCCGCAAGCGACAGAAAGGCGACCCTGAAGACTCCGATGCCGCCGTGGTCAGACAAACGCCCTGCCTCCTGCCTCCCCTGTCCGAAATCGCAAGCATCCGAACCAACGCCGGTCCAGCCTTCTGGGACCTTGAGGTCGACTTTGAAAAGAACCCAGCACTCATCGATGCATTCAGACAGAACCAAAGCTTGTACCTTCGTCGTCGCCCTGCTCAGGAAGCTCCTTTCTCGTCTACTCTCCGCGCCCTGGGCAGAGATGCTTTGGTAGACGTCACGGATAATGGCAAGCGCGATCCTCTCGAATGGCTCTTCGACCTTGACGCCCTCCGCGACCTGACGTACGCGGAACGTGCCACCGTATTGGACCGCAGCGCAAGCACAGAGGGCGCAGCGGGCGAGAGCTCCGGATCGTCAGTCGATGCCCGTCTCGTGTTGGAAAGGAGCATGGACGGAAGCAGCAGAGAGCGGCTCTGCGGGTTGAAGATGCTGTTCGAGTGGGCTGATCGCCGAGCGCAGATTGGCGCCAAGGAGAAGGGCAAGGTCGCCGATGAGAAGGATCTGGAGTGGTGGATGCGGGACAGCGTTGTTGAGGAGCTCAAGGGACGGGTGTTCCTTGCCGGACGGGAGGAGGACAGCATGCAGCAGAGTTTGAGGTGAGGTGTGTTATTAGAGTAATGAGATATGGTTAATGAAATGCCACGATGGCTTCATGATATGCGGCTTGTTCTCCGATGGCTCTTGCGTCTTGTTTGCGCTTATGCTATGTGCGTAGTAGTCAAAGGGTTGATATATTAATGAGGCCAGTTGAATGATATGCTAGACTCCGCCAATTAATCTGTTCTCTTCCGAATCATCAGCGTAAGAGCCGATCACCAATGACTATGCTGAGTGATAGCCAACCCTCAACTGCGATCATCAAATAGAGGGCTACGGCTGATAATTACACGTGGAATACTACAATGATGTGGAGCGATGAAGAGCATGGAAATAAGACGCGCATCTGGTGAGGGTGACAAGGTAAGTTTAGGGTTTTCGGGCGTGTTCAGCTCGCTTCTCGGTGGACATTATTTCTATCAACTTCGAGCGTGAGGAAATTCTCAATTCTGGCCGTCGTGAAGGGCTCCTGAAGTGATTCGTAGTGTTTTAATATATCTTCCTGACTTGGAAAGATGGGTGGGGGATTTCGTGGCGCGCGGGTAGGGGAGCGGGGACTCTGTCTGACGCTACTGCTGTAGTATAAAGGGGCTTGATGAATGCTTGAGATGTTTTGCAACACCAATGCACTGTAAATGAACTTTGTTGATTAAGTTAATCGGCTGTGTTGTCTGAATTCAATAGAATGCTGGGCAAACCTGCTTTACCATTAGCAACCCGTATCATGGTATTCAAAGATGCTTATATGGGGACATAATGTGGTGCGTCATTCCATGTGTATACATTGGTAGCGATGCTGAACAACAGAGATAACCCAGTGTTAAGAATGATTCTGAGGCCTTGGTAGGATGGCTCTGATCACCGCGAGGAAATCTGGACGACATGTGTCCGCGATATTCCAGGTCTTCGTAATAGCCACTATGCACATTAGCGCCGCACAATTGTTTGGAGGATCATGACCGATGTGTACCAGGGAGCTCTTATATATCCCGGGCGGGGGTGACTTGCGCCATGTCGCTCATACGAGTACTAAGCAATGCAGGTTGACGAGCAGAGCAAGAGATTTTAAATGTCTTTTCTGAGTGAGATACCACCACCACAAGAGCAAGGAATGTCATGACCAGGACGAACACAACTTGAGCGTCTTTTCAGTAAGGTACGTGAGTATTTACATTATCGGTAACATACGTCGGGGCAACGCCCCGTTGGCTCTCATTCTACCTATGAGGAAGAATACGCTCGCAGCAGTGAGGAAAATAGACGATTGCGGAATTTTCGGACTCTCAAGAGGGTACAAGCTTTGAAATATTCTTTTACTACGACTGTTCTGACACTTGGGTAAATCATAAGCTTACATTTCAAGAGACTTGTCATTGCTGTTGTAGAGAAGAAAGCCATATCCAGAACGCCTCAGATATTTTATACCTCCAGCTTCTATGTGATACGTAACCTTCTCCTGAAGGAGAATACGAGTTTGAAGGATGAAGATGCTCGACCATCAAGCGTGGATGTTTCTGGTATAATTGTGTTGACAAAGCTTCCAGAAGATGATTGAGAAGACGCAATGGGTTTACTGTCCAGTACGAGTTTTCCTGGTAGCTGATAAGATGAAGACGATATCGGAAGGGACTGTGTCTTCAATAAAGAACTAGAACTACAACAGATGTAATGGGGGAGCTGTGTGTATTCGAACTCGGACTTGTGAACGGAGACGATGAACGATTACGGCGGGCGACGCACGCCTATGAAGCAACCCAAATGGACTGCCGGCTTTGGTCATCTGACAACCGTTGATTCAACTAACGTTGCAAATTGCCAACTACAGTTCGCAGCTTTTGTCATCGGGTTCTTGTGTCTGGTACTACTGCAAAGCAGCAACGGTGGCTTTTGAATACCTCGCCGTCCCATCCACACCATTTTCTCTTCTATAAAGCTTTTCCGATTCACAAAGAGGCGTTCTCAGCAAGCAATGAATTCTCTCTTGTTCACTTTCTGGTAACATCCGACGATCATCATTGTCCTACCAAAATATGAAGAGCTGGCTGCATGCTTGTGAGTTGAGACCAGTCTCCGCCAGCTGTTCCCATACTCCACGAGTTCCGAGTTATTCTGAACGAAATACCGTCGAGACTCGAGATGGAAGCGCGGCACGGCGGAGAAGGGTTGACAAGCAGGTAATCATTTCGGGACTTCCAGATGTAGATGTCTCTAGTCATTCATTTGGATCAGGCGACCCTCGCCGGAACTTTCGCCACGATTGCAGGCCAATTTCGAGCTAACACGCCTTTCAGCTTTAGATACAAGACGATGGGTGTTGAGAGGACGCGCGCTGCACACTGAGTCCAGGGTACCGATGAGAACGATTGCGACTTGATGGGTGTGGTCGCCCCTGAACACGACTATAATAAAGCTCTGCGGCTTTTTCTAGGTGGCTTAACGCGAAGACAAAACAATTCTGTGGGTGGCACGTAGTCGTTTCAAGTGCCATCTACTCCCTTGTCTATGTCTAGTTTACAAAAGTCTGACTGCCTTCACATCAGATCGAGGCAGTTTCAAGTCAACGACACGTTCTGTGCCAATGTGAGTGTATTCAGTCCCGAATGACCAGTGAAGATGCATGGCAGAGACATGGGCAGGCTTCCTTGATTGTTCAATAAATATTCTTTCTGCCAACACCTACGTTCAAAAAACACCGGAACGGTGTGCGGCGTAGACTAGTCATACGTCCTCGCGCGACGACCAGTATGCAGTACGCACTAAGAATGAGCCATTTATTGGTTTAGGCTCTTTGCTTGACTTTAAGTTGGGATTGTAACCTTACATACTGACTTTGAGTCGGTCCATGAACTCGGATAGATGCTTATCTGAAACTCAAAGGATGAGGTCGGATGATACTAAACGCCTCTCCGACTGTTGTCAACATCCCAAATGGATCTCGATGTGAACGCCCCGGATGGTACTGTCAAGCGGTTGGCTAGTTTGGTATGCGGCCGTCACGATGGCAATCAGTGCCGAGGCCATACCCAGCACTTCGACCATGGTCTTCGAACGTTATTGTTTGTTCTACTTGCTTCTTTTTTTGCTCTCCAACACATCATACTATGATCCGAGCACATTAGTCGGAGATACAGGTTCCACATCGAACATTAACATCCCCGATTGGAAAACGAGCCGAAGACCCGACCTGGTGGCATTCTATGCATTTCATACATCACTATCCCTTCTGCACAGTCGTTTCTGAATACTGGCTGAAGTCTTCATATTGTTTTGGCTATGAATGATAATTTCGCTTGCATACCTCGCTATCGCTATGGGAACTTAGTTGCCTGCCTTTGGCTGACCAGAACCTACTGGTCATCACAGGACTGCATCCCAAAACCTACACCCATGCCTGCAATCATTCGAAAAACCGATCCAGAGGCTTGCAGGAGCCTTCAGTTTGGAGGTTGAGATCAAACTTCATCTGATGGCCTCCAGCAGGCTCTGCAATCACAAAGCTCAAGTTGGTCAACCAGACCACTGCAACCATCAAGCACCGGCGTCTCTTCGTCCTCTCTCCTCAGAACACCCCACGTCTCTCTGCGCAAGAAGATAATATTGTCGTGCTTCTCAGCAAAGTACTCTGTAGGACAACCTTCACACTCTCCTGCGGGATACGCCTTACCATTGACATCTTGACTGGCAAACATCAGTGCTCTCAAGATGTCCTCCCACTCGAAATGTGAGCAAATCATGTGCTCACGCGTCCTGTCGAATTCTTGCAGCTTCTCTCTCATGGTAGCCACGGTGACCCCATTCTCGTCACCCTGATGCATCGCCGCGACAGGCAAGGTCCACTCGATGTCGAACTTTCCAATGTCGTCAAACCCTTCTTTCTCGCAAAGATGAAAGGTATAGGTGGGCTTTCTCGTCTTCTTTTCGGTCTTGTCGAGCTCCGACAAGCCGGGAAAACAGAAATGACACGCCTCAGTGATAGTTAGATCGCACTCGCAGTCGCTGTTGGCGTCGTCTTCGCAACAACTCTCGAAGTACTGCCAGATATCCATCATCGACATCGTCAGGTGAGGACAGAGCCTCAATGTGCCGGTAATGTTGATGCACATCCTCTCGCCGTGCGCTTTCTGTTGCTCGGCCTCCGCGAACTGAGATGTAGGATGCATGGTTCTGCAGAAAGAGCAGTATAGCCCTGAGGGCATCTGCGGCGCAGGCGTCTCTTCTCCCAAAGTCGGACACTGCCTGGGAAAAATGAAGCCATCTGCGTTGGGAGTTTCGATGCTCGTCGACGTCCCTTCGGCGCAGTGCTGAGCCCGTGGATTCTTATGCTGAACGTGACACTTAGCCTTTGTCGAATATTTCTCATCGCAGATGTGTGTTTCGGACATGTCGACTGCAATGGCTGACTCGCTCTGTGTTTGTCTGATCGAGCGTGGTGGTGCCTGCTTTCTGAGGGCGAGCTCTGCGCGCAACTCCGGCGTGATGGAAAAGGATTCCAGTTGCGAAATAATGCCCTCGTCTAAGGTGTTGTTTGTGGGTGAGGTTCTGGCCGTAGATGGCTCATCGACCGTTTGGGAAGTGTTTGAACTGGACATCGTTACGGTTGAGAGTCGAATGGTGGAATGTGGGTACTGTAAAGATTGAGGACAGGCGAGAAGTTGCGGACGAGAAGTTGCGGACGAGGAGTCAGAAGAAGTTCCTAGCGCTGGGGAATCACAAAATTAATAGTCGCTGTGAAGTGACCTGGACATCAGCCTCAGGTTGCCGTGATATTTGCAAAGGTTGTGCGTTGGAACCCGAAAAGCCAACCTCTATATCTTTGACACAACCCTTGTGTCTGTCATCGGTCCAGTAAATGGATCATGCTAGATTTTGACACCGTAATAAAACATTTATGAATGGAAAGAACTCGAATGTGTGCCAGGGTAGAATGTGGTCGTCTGAGACATAACACCTTTGCGACCAACGTAATCCATGAATTACGACCCTCCAGGCGAGCACGATGATGCCTCTTGTTGACCTCATGCAACGAATTTGGCATGATCGAGACCACCCCTCTGGACTCCGAGTCCAAAGAAGTGGTTACCTGACAGGTGTAGGCAATCGTATGGGATGTCCAGCGTTGAGGCCCAAAAATGAGATCAAGAGGTCTATCATGATGAACATCGTGTACATCCACATAGCATATTCTCTCGCCATCAACAATTAATATCGAGTTTCTCATAAGAAATCTAACTGTTTTGCTTTATGTATGAGTGGAGAATGAAGCAAAACATGGACTCGACCGATAGTTCGAGCTTGGTCAACCCCTAAGTTATCGAAAGATATATGTCATTGTTGACATTTCTTCTTGGTGACCAATCAAGCCGGTTAATCACCCTCGAGTGTTGCGGACAATCCCCATGAAGGATGAGTTTACGACAACATTGAGGGCCAATCTCGGTCAGGATGAAGATAATTTAGTGAAAACCAGATGCGTCATTTCCCTTCTCTCGGGACGTAATGCCGGCGTACCATTTGGAGCAAAGCCACGCCAAATCATGGAGTATCCAAAGTCCTGCCACGCAACCCCTATTCAACGCGATTGTATGGGGCCCAAAACGTGTCTGATGTGATGAGGAGACGTGCGACTGCGAATGATGAAGATGAGATCGGTGAGACCACTTCTTGTTGTCCGACATATGCAATGCTGTGCAAAGGTCTGTATCTCCTATAAAAAGAGACATCACGACTTCTATCAGAATTCTGCAACCCAATGAGTAAGAGTCCTCCCTTGTACGCGCCCAGAAATGTTGCAGTCAGGAAAAGGAAAATTGAGGACAGTCGCCATCCAGATCTCCGTGCGAGGCAGCAATGTCGCATTGCTGGCCAGCACAACAGACTCTCCAGTCTCCTGGGTCCAATTCCTGCAGTCGTATCCGAATGAATACTTCAAGAGAAATGACACCATGTAGAGAAACGGAAGGGCGAAGAGAACACGAAGAGGAAAAAAATATTACTGCTACTTCCATTCTCGACCTTGGAGACTTCGCCTCGACAGCTCTATACAGCAGAGCGCTGCCACGTCGCACCTCGAGCATCAGCACTAAGTGTGCGCACATCTGTTTGGGGTACAAATCCAGAAGTCTTCAGACAGCGCTAATATATCCGACAAAACGTCTCATTGAGGCAGACAATAATAACTAGTGAAGACATCGTTATAAAAGCCAGTGTCAGAATGTGTTTGCCTGTCCCACGACAAAGCCAATTAAAGTGTTGTGATCGGGCTGTCTGAAGGATGCCGATGTTGGTTATAGAGTTGGTGACTCCGTTTCCATAACGAAAGGAAGTCCGCCAGACCGAATTCGCATTGCGAATTCTTCAGGTTTGTCGTGTACTTATTCTTTCCGTAAAAACTGTATGAACAAGCCCCGGTGACTAACAGCGTTTCTGGTGAAGTCTGCTTCGGTTCGAAGTCGATTGGCACAATTCTCCGATCTCAGAATTCAGCTAGAATTTCTTGCCTCTTGGTTTCTAAAGGTGTGGGTGGCTCTTTCTATTTCCTTGGCCATTGGCCAGACTCTGGAACAGAAACAAGGCATATTTATGCTCATGACATAGCGTCAGGACTCTACGTGTCTTGAGAACCATCAACGCCTGCTGTCCTCACCCATGTCAAACGACCAGCTATCCTATCTGCCTAGATACAACGCAAGCAGAAGCTGCTGAGACGTGATGAAAGCCCGCAACGAAAACAAAGTGCTTCAGATCGAAAATTGATATAAGTAAGAAATGCCAAAGCTTCACTTAGAATATTCAGCAATCGCGTTGAACCTAGCCCTCAACAAATCATGATTCTACTTGAAGGCTGGTTCGCTAGAAGCTAACCTGTGCTCAGGAAACCAAGGCGTCGAGCTAGCCAGAACCAGAGATTCGTATGGCTCTCATGTTGTACGCAGCTTGGTGTCTGGGTAGGCACAGCCGAATAACCCATGGAAGATGATACAAACCAGGCGAGAACCCCTCAAACGCCAATTGCGACCAATGTGTTCTTAATTACCATTCAAACATGAAACTTGACTCATGCCACTTAAGCTCCTTTGCCACCGGACAGCTTAAAGAAATGGCGTCATTGTACATTTGAGTTGTTCCTGGGCAACAAATTAAGACGTTCCCGAAAGTCATTAATATACTATCACGGTTACCATGCTGTCTGGCAGCGCCTGACACCCCTATTAAACACCAAATCACTCAGGATAGTTACCTCTCCCGCCGAATGTTGCGTTGAAGAAGACACTGGTTTGTTGCTTTGGGCTCGAGCATTGATACGGTCGTTAAGTCAATGAGTGTTCACGCCTCGGATCTGAACTTTCAGGCCACACTCCTCCAGGCACCTGTCCCCTGTATGGAGTCTTGAGGTTATTCAGGCTGAATAACTCATGACTGATCCCGAAGAAAAGCTATCAAGACTACAGTATGCTGAGGCGCGTGCCTCGTGGATCTGGTGGATAGATCCAGGTGTCAAAACAGGACACTTCTCGTGGACGCTCGATAACCTGAATTTACACTATTGTGGTGTAGATGAAAGAATCAATCTGCTTGTGTACTTATATCAGAAGCTGCGTCGAGACTCGAGGCCAAGGGCGCCCACAGCGAGTAAACGACCCCATCCTGCAGCCCCACAAGAGTTCAAACTGCCTGGGTCCACAATCGAGCGAGCGAAATTGTGTGCATGCGAGCGAGCGAGCGAGAGCAATTCTCCTTCTATTCAAGATTGAAACTACGATGCTATGCCCCAACAAGGGTAAGGTCCTCAAGATTTCATAAACGCCCGCGCCGAGAAAATGCTTTCCAGTCCCCATCTAATCCCTTTTTAACACCCCAAGTCAAAGCAACAAGCGGCGTGATTTCATCATGTGGTGTCTTGTTGTCTTCATTTTAGATAAGAACCCGCCCGCCCCTCGCGTCTCTAGCGTAAACGTTTCAAAAAGGAAAGCGGTTCGCACCCAATTCCGAAAAGGATTCCCAGTTCTTTCGTGCCCGCCTATATTCTACTTTATACCCGTTGTGTGTATCCATCTTTCAGAAATACCCGCAAGAAAAATGCTGTTGTGAAGTGGTCATGGTGGTTTTAGACGACGTGCTTGACGCCGTTGGTGAGCTTGGAGGCGGCGAGCTGCTCCTTGATGACCTCGTCAAGGCAGCCGGCGGCGGCGGCAATGAAGCCGAGGTAAGGTCTCTGGGATGGGTGTCAGCGGCGACGGTACAAAAGGTCAGGGGAAAGGTGATCTTACGCTGGGGTTGAGGACCTTGGACTGGTACTCGGCGTGGAACTGGGTTCCGACGAAGTAAGGGTGCTCCTTGAGCTCAAAGATCTCCATGCGCTCGCCCGTCTCGTCCTTGCCGACGAAGTTGAGACCGGCCTCCTGCAGCTTCTCAACGTGGGCGGGGTTGGCCTCGTAGCGGTGGCGGTGTCTCTCCTCCACGGACTGGGCCTCGCCGTACAGCTTGCGCAGCTTGGACCACTCGCTGCCGGGCTGGAACTCGGTGGGACGGAGACCGAGACGCATAGTACCGCCGAGGTTGTTGCGGTTCAGCTCGGGCATGTAGATGACAACCTTCTCGGTGGCCTCGCCGTTAAACTCTTCGGAGGTGGCATTGGCGAGGTTGAGGAAGTCGCGGGCGTACTGGATGATGGCGGTCTGGAAGCCGAGGCAGACACCAAGGAAGGGGGTGCCGTTCTCACGGGCCCACTTGGAAACTGCCATCATACCTTCAGTGCCTCTCGTGCCGAAACCGCCGGGGACGATGATGCCGGAGGCGGTGCAGACGGAGTGCCAGGCCTTGTGGTACTGGGCCTGGTCCTCAGACTTGGCCTTGGGCTCGAGGTGCTCGGCGTCAACCCAGATGATGTTGAGCTTTTTGCGGAGGTGCATTGAGGAGTGCTCGAGGGCCTTGACGACGGAGAGGTAGGCGTCCTGGGACTGAACGTACTTGCCGACAAGGGCAATGTTCAGCTCACCCTCGTAGGGGCGGCTGACGACAGACGCCCAGGTCTTCCACAGGGCGGCGCCCTGCTCGATACGGTCCTGGGAAATGTGGAGAGCGTCGAGGTTGACGGCCTTGCGGAGCCAGGGAATCAGGCCCTGCTCGCTCAGGAGGAGGGGAACCTGGTAGATGGTGGGCATGTCACGGACCACCAGAACCTGGGGGACGTCGACCTGGCAGAGGAGAGCGATCTTGCGGATGGTGGGCTCCATGAGGGGCTGTTCGCACCTGCAGGCAATCTGAACGAATTAGCGAGGCGGCGATTTGGAGGCAGGAGGCAAAATACCATATCGGGAACGAGACCGTAACTGCGGACCGTCTTGACTGCATGCTGTGTGGGCTTCGTCTTCTGCTCGCCGTGGATGGTGGGCACGTAGGAGACGTGGATCTGGATGAAGTTGCCGCTTCCGGCTCTGTGGCGCACTATCGCGGGTTAGAAATAGTCATAGAGAAGAAGCTTGACGGGTACAAACATTGAGTCAATGCCTCGACGTAGGGCATCTGGTTTGTTGTTAGTGGATGCCGCTTGGCAAAATGCGTGGTGCAAGACATACGCTCTCGATATCAC